AGAAAAACGGAGGTGGCACTGTGTTGAACAAGCTTCTCAAAACAGATATTCTTCTAGGTAGAAGCTTTGAAATGTAGAAAATTCTAGTGGGATCTGCCTTCATTGAAGTCAGTAGAATTCCTGTACCTGGCTTGCTAGCCTTGTTCAATAAATCCTGTGTGGTTACCAGGGTTACTACAGACTGAGCTCTGTAGCCTACGCAGCCCTATCTTAGTATCTTCCCTCCTGTTCCTTCCAGATTTTTCTGCCTTGTCAAAAACACTAACTCTAGAGAACCCCCACAGTGTACTTTCTCTCTGAGGTGTCAACTCCTCCCGGATGATGTGGGAGAATCTCATATGTATGAATATATTCATATTATATATACATAATTTGTTTTTGCTTTCTGTTCATTGGTGTTTTGCCAGAAGCCCTGGACCTGGAGACAGGTGTGAGCTGCCATATGGGTGCTGGGACTTGAACCTGGGTCCTCTGGAAGAGCAGTTCATGCTCTTAACCTCTGAGCCGTCTCTCCAGCCCCTGACGTGGGGTAATCTTAACGCAGCATTTTGTCCTCAACATGGTTTTAGTATCAATGACTTTCATTCTCAAAACTGCCCCAGTTTTGGAGGATAAATTATATGGTATCTTTTCTAAGTCTTAACCATTCTCCCTTCCTCCTTCCATAACATCTATTTCTGTATCAACAAACACTGCATCACTAAGCATGTTCACCTTTATTCTAAATATTCAAGAGGCTGGAAGAAAGAGACTGAGTTCAAGCCTCAGCTTGGTAACAAACCAAACCAAACCAAACCAAACCAAACAAACAACAAAAAAACCCAGCATCAATTTTTCCAAATTCCTACTCTAATTCATGCTCTTCATTCAAAGCCCTAAGCATCCCAGTTCCCTTATCTATTTGCTTTGAGAGTCCTTCTAAAACCATAGACTCAAGAATGTTAACTCAAGTTACCGTCTCTTTTGAAGTTTTTTTAAGGTATATTTATTTGTTATGTATACAGTGTTCTGCATGCAGGTATCCCTGCAGGCCAGAAGAGAGCACCAAATCTCATTACAGATGGTGGTGAGCCACTGTGTGGTTGCTGGGAACTGAACTCAGATTCTCTGGAAGAGCTAGTGCTCTTAACCTCTCAGCCATCTCTCCAGCCCTCTTTTGAAGTTTTCCTGACAATTATCTGTCATGTTTCATTAATTCTGCTGTGTCAGGATGTTCCAAACCTGCATTCTGCTTTCCCCTGGACAGGAAGCAACTTCAGTTCTGAACTCCCTCAAAGACCACTACAAAACATTTACTCACAGCTGCTCAGAAATTAACAGTGATCCCCAAGAAATAATAAATTAACAAATTCCCTATTTGGCCTTTGGAGTCTTTCATAGTACAGGTTCAACTTAATCTAAAAAACCTTGGTGCTCCATTGTTTTATCCTCCATAGTTTTTTGTTTGTTTGTTTATGTGTTTGTTTGTATCGTTTTGTTTTGGTCAGTCTTTACCAACTTGAAGTTCTAGACTTCTCATGAACTCACTCACCTAGAAGACATCCTAAGCTAATAGAAAATCTTATCCTGACCGTCTTCCTTTTCCTTGAGAGATGGTTTCTAAGAAGAAGGAAGTGCAAGCTGTAGGTGGCAGGCGTCCAGCAAGGGGCAGATAGCAAGTCTCCTCTCCCATCTGACCATTGCTGACTCGTTGTCAAGCATCTACAACTGAGAGAAAAATTCAGGTTTTGAAAATTTTTAACTTCTGGAACACTTATAATGATTACCCATTTTGTCTAATATAATCAACACATTCTATTCTTTTTTAAAATAGACATTAAAAAATAAGTGCCCAAAGACATGGTGTGTGGATGATCTGAATTTCTTATGTTTTTTTGTCCTCATCTGTGCCATTTCTTCAACCCAGCATAACATTATCCCCATTTCTACTCTTGAAATCTATTTATTCACTTGTCTATCTGAATATCATTTCCTTAGAAGGCCTTTCCCCTTCCACGTTCCCCAGGAATTTCTCTTCCATCATCTCCATCTTCACCATCATTATCATCATTCCATACTTTTGGAACTCTACAATGGCCTCTACCAGATCCACTTCTGGTCAAGCCCACCTTCAAAGGCACTTACCACAATGCTGCCATATTGACCTTCCTGAATAGGCATGAACCTCATCACAACACTGCCTAGCATAAAAGACTGTAACAAAAAAGCTTTCTCTTCCCAGTACACCTAGATTCAGCTCTGATGATGTGATACTGCCCTCACCAATCCAGAAAAAAAAGAGTTGATTACTTCTTCTTTAAATATACCACATTATGCTTATTTTATTCCACTTGGTACAACATGTTTACTCCTTAGCTTTCTTTCATGATTTCTATGTAAGTCCTCCAGGAATGGGAGGTAGTGAAGTGGTTAGGGACACATATTCTGGAAGCAAAATATAGGTTCAAGTCCTGACACAGAGTGGTCTTATATGTCAGTTAACTAGTACCCCAATAATTTCATAGCCATCAACCACAAGTTACCAGTGATAGATGGCAACTGACTTTTTAAAAACCACAATTTGAGTGGTATATCTGTTGATTTTGATCAAACTTTGGTGATCTGGACTGAACCCATCCATGAATCCTTTTGATGTGTCAGCTTATCAGTATATCACACACACACACACACACACACACACACACACACACATACATCAAAACATCAAGTGAAACACTATAAATATATACAACTTTTATTTGTCCTTTATAACTGAGTTAGTATGATTAGAAAAAAATCAAAGTTGAAGCCTTGCAAGATATGATACATTATCTTCAAAAGTCAATCATTTGTCTTCCTTTACCCATTCCCTTTACAACATGTCATTGTATCTCCTTCTACTAAGACTCACAGTCTGTTTCCCCCATCCTTTGAATTTCTATTAGTCTATGGCAAATATGACATTATTATGGATCCCAGCTTAGGATTTAAGAGGTTATGGATAGTCCTTCAGCTCTATTGAAACTCTGCTATGACCATGAAGAGAAGGCCAGGAGAGTATGATAGAGATGGAAGAATGAGATATGGAAGAAATGCATCATCTCAGTAAGGTCATCCCTGATCAGCTAGACACAGCAGATACATCAAAAAGATGTATGGGCCAGACCTACTTTATAGACCAATTCTTCAAAGTTTCCCCAACAGCAGACTAGCCTCCATAGTACTACAACAGGCACTGCAAATAGCCTCTACATAGCACCTACACATAAGAGTGAGTTTCAGTCCTATCACCATAACTTTTGTTTGTTTGTTTGAAGTTCTGGATACCAAACCCAAGCCTTCATGAAAACCCACTGACTCCAGCCCTACTTTCAGGGTTAAGAACCAGTTTGGTATTCATAAGCCCATCCCCAAACTAGGTCAGCATACCTAGTTTTGATAAAGCTACTGTGATGCAGAGAAGGTGTGGTAATTTGAATATCATTAGCCACTATAAGCTCATGGGGGGTGGCACTATGAGGGGTTATGGCTTTGTTGGAGTAGGTTTGGCCTTGTTGGAGGAAGAGTGTCACTGTCAAGGTGGGCTTTGAAGTTTCCTATGCTCAAGCTATGCCCAGTGACACAGTTCACTTCCTGTTGCCTCTGGTGAAGTTGTACAACTCTCAGATCCTTCCCCAGTGCCGTCTCTGCCTGTAGACCACAAAGTTCTACCATGATGATACTGGACTAAACCTCTGAAACTGTAAGTCACCCCAATTAGATGTTTTCCTTTGTGAGTTGCCATGGTCATGGTGTCTCTTCATGGCAATAGAAACTCTAACTAAGAGAGAAGCGAACCAGAGCTCAAGGAGATTGGTGTGGATCTGGCCATGCGCTGTAAGTTTAGTCTGCAAGGTCCAGCTCACAGGTAGGGGCAGACAGTCTAGAGATCTGCTTAGCACTTTTCACTTTTTCTTCCCTTCCTTCTTCTCTCTTTTTTCTTCCTTTTTCTTGAGGGCAGGCATGGCCTATGCTCACCCCTAGTCCAGGTTCACCCCAGTAGATCTCAAATTTCCTCTGGACTCAGCAGAGGAATGACTTGACAATCAGAATCCAGACCAGCATTCACAAAGTTAGTTAGCTTCAAGGCGAGCTCTAGGTACAGGCTGCCTAATACTCACACACTTAGCCTGTCTGAGCCCCCATGAGAGTCCTGAGAAATCCATGTCAGAAAATTTCCTCAGATACTATCTCCATGGTTACCGTTACAGATCTAATCAACAGGTCAACCCTGGAAGATCCAGACACCATTCCCAAACCACTAGTCTTACATATAAGGCCTCTAACTTACTAACCAGCTTTCACACATGAGGACTCCATCAGTAATTGCATTTCACGTTATTCCAGATAGCCTGCCCATAACATCTGAATGGACAGACTGGCAAAGGAATATGCCTGAGAGATATTTCTATAAAGACTAGAGTAAGTCTTGCTTCTTCAAATGTGCAGGCATCATATTCAAACAATAGGAAATGTGAAAAACCAAGGAGCTACAATGACACCAAAAAGGCAGAATAATCTCCCAGTAGGTGACCTCAAAGTAATATGAATTTCCCAAATAATTCAAAGTCATTTCTCTTGGAAGATCAGCAACTTTGAGAAAATATGGAGAAACAATTTCATGAAATCAGAGAAACAATAAGTGACAGAACAAGAGATTTAACTGGTATATTACACACACACACACACAAATAGAAAACTTCAAGCTGAAATATTAAATGAAAGAAAGGAAAACTTCTAACAGAAAATAACACCAGGATTCATCATGAATTATTAGTTACTTCTCTGTTGCTGTGATACCGTGAGCAAAAGCAACTTAAAGCGGGAAGACATTATCTGCATATGTTTCTAGAGGGAGAATCCACAACAGCAGGGTAGGCAGGGTAGCAGATGGCCAGAGCAGGAAGCTGGCTGACCACATCTCAACTGCACACAGGGCAAGATTACAAGCCCTCAAAGCTCGCCTCAATGACAGACTTCCTCAAGCAAGATCCTACCACCTATAGGTCCCATAATCTCCACAGTGTATATGCATATACATGCCCTTCTCAGGGACCCAACACTGGGCATTAGTGTTACTGACTTGGTTCCTGTTTAACAGAGGTACAGGAAGCGGTCACTTGCTCTAGCTAGGTATAACCCGGGAGGTAGAAGACCTGGAATTAGCTCCTCCCATCATCTTCTCCCAGACTCTGGTTATCCTTCTGCCTATTGGACATGAGTTTGGCCCAGTTCCACTAGGATGGGAAAGCCGCAGTCAAACGGAAATAGCCGAATGGCCCTCGGGACCCTGTTTCTGTCGTTGCCGTGTTGTCAGGACACAGACCTTCAGTGCCAGCTGTGCGACTTCTCTTCCCCCTGAGCGCAGGCCTGAAAGACAGAAGAGTGGAGGAAAACGCTCTCCAGTCTCCTGTTCCCTCCCCAGTAAGTGAAGATGGAGAATTTTCAACATAGTAAGTGCTTTCTAACTAATTAACCATTTTAGACAGAACCGTAGACAATGTAACAACGTGAATAATTTAGGAGAGTTATTTTTTTAATGACTGAAAAGCAAATGCTCTAAATTATTGAAAAGAATTAAGGTAATGACATACTACAATGTAATAATCAGCAATTGTCTATTGTACTGAAGGTGACAGGAAAATAATCCACCACTCAGCACATAGTCACCTAACATCATTTGGAACTCACTGAATTCATGTTCTTTCTTTCTCTCTTTCTTTCCTTCCTTCTTTTTAAATTAGTATTCTTTCTTCCTCTACTGGGGAGTTACTTCTTTTTGTCATGACTTTAAGAGGGGAATAGGGGTGGGGGAGTGGTGTTATTTTTATTCTTAAGGATGAAAACTTACATTTTTGAACACAAATAGGAGACAGTTCCTTTGGGGTGGGAACTGGCCTCTGGGGTTGCCTGGCCACTAGAACACTTTGAAAATGGACACATAAAATTCATGCCCCAAGTATTACATGAGATAGTATGTAACCTGAGATCCCCCGATGCCTACACAGACACACTTATAAGTAGATTCAGAAATATAGTACTGAAAAGCCCACAACTCACAGAGTAAGGAATACATGTTATTTAAATTTGTATTTAAAATCACTACAACCAATATTCTCATGCGGAATTCCTCAAGCTATGTTTACACGACTGGAACAATACCTCTGTTCTTACGCATTCTTCTTAAAGCATCACAGCTTGATGCCGACACTAAATGCTATTAATCTCGCATATTTATAAGATAATTTCACGGGTTCCTTTGTTTTTAAAGGATAATGTGGTAGCATGAACAATGTCAGAGAATCCAGGCATATCGGTTTTTCCTGGTACCTATGATGTCCACCAGAGCAGATATGTGCTCCCAAGCCTGAAGACTCTAGTGAGCCTTCTGTGCATAAGCATTGTTTGGAGAACAAGAAGATTTTTGAAACGTGGGGCTCTGCATAAGAACATTGTAAGTCAAAATAAGAATCCATCCTGAGTTGTCAAAAAGCCCGGAGAGTCTGATACACGCCGATGGCAGCACTTCCAGCCCATGCCTGAGTAAACAGACTCAGATCCTCAGGCACGCACGGATACCCCAGACTAACGTGGGCACAGACAGCTCTTTATGTCTACGCGGACTTGGCTTTTGCAGCTGCCGTTTTGTCAGTGTTGTCTCCGGGGCAGTTTCCTGTTGCCATAGCTGATGGCCTGCCCACGCCTGCCTGGCCCTTTCAAGTGTCAACACTCCCAGGCCGGCTGCAGTGGTCAAATGCTTGTTAATGAGATATAGCAGCTGGGTAGGGGTGAACCACTGAGACGGATAAAGGAATGCCGCTGGTGCAGGAAGCGATGCCTTTTGAATCTTTTCAGCGGGGTGAAAGCTTTCAAATCAAAGAGGGTATGTTGTATTCATTAATAAACCCGCGTTCCCATGCAGGCACATTAAAGCCAGCAGTTTAACTTTGCATCAGACAGGTGAATTTCCCCCAGATTTTACTCCAAAAGACAATGAACGAGAAAACAAGGCTTTAGCTTGGGACAAAGCCGCACTTCCTCATCTGTGGGGCTGACCGGACTGCTGAACCAAGCAAGGGGTTACTGCTTTCTTTTTCAATGTATCCTTTGTCCGTGTATTTGTGTGTGTGCGTGCACGCTCGTGTGCACGTTGCAAAGCTCATAGCAACCACTCCTGCTCTTCCCTCTTCAGTCTCTGGATCTGAACACCCCACCCCACCCCTTTAAAACCTGACTATCAAAAACAGAATTAACAACCTAACCACTACTTGTGAGGGGAAAAAAATACATAAGCATGGATACAGGGTCATATGGCCACTGGCTCAGATGAAGCAGAGTCGTGCCCCTCCCCCATCTACCCATCTCACAACCCATTACTAGGACGGTTTCCCCAGGAAGCTGTGGGAGTTGGCAGTATAATGAGACACTGCTAACAGCTGGGAGAAGTCAGGAGGAGAAGAAGAAGAAGAAAGAGAGAGAGAGAGAGAGAGAGAGAGAGAGAGAGAGAGAGAGAGAGAGAGAGAGAGAGAGAGAGAGAGAGGAGAGAGAGAGAGGAGAGAGAGAGAGAGAGAGAGAGAGAGAGAGAGAGAGAGAGAGAGAGAGAGAGAGAGAGAGAGAGAGAGAGAGAGAGAGAGAGAGAGAGAGAGAGAGAGAGAGAGAGAGAGAGAGAGAGAGAGAGAGAGAGAGAGAGAGAGAGAGAGAGAGAGAGAGAGAGAGAGAGAGAGAGAGAGAGAGAGAGAGAGAGAGAGAGAGAGAGAGAGAGAGAGAGAGAGAGAAGGAAGGGAGAGAGAGAGAGAAGGAAGGAAGGAAGGAAGTACATCTAAAGCATCTAACTGACAAGGAATCCTGAAGTGACTATTGAAGAAAATGTCATTAACTTTAAGTTCATTTGTTAGAAAATTGGACCCAGAGGGAATCGCACTAGGTCAATAAATAGTATCAGAGATAAATGATCTATGCTGGGGTTGGTTAAGGAAATCCAGTAAGAATTACACCATTTTAGAAGCAGGGATATATCGTGTAGACCAAATACATACAGATATTCTTATGTTTCACTGTTACCAGTTTTTCTTACCAATCTTACTGATGAACTAATAATTGATTGGCTTATCCATCACTGTAAATGAAGACCAGCATACACACACGCACACTAGCCTAATGACATTTGTAACTGCAAGCAATTAAGAAATTAAGAGAGACATTTTTCAAAGCTCTTCAGTTTTTGAAATACTCGTAAATTGTTTTAAGCATCCATTCTTGTGAGGTCTTGCCAATCCGGCATGGGAAGATGAATGGAAATGCCATTCTTTTGGTGCTATAACATATCAGGCATCAAGCTAGACACTTTAAAATGAACGTATGTAAAAGAGGCTCCCAGGGAAGGGGAGGTGCTCAGTGGTAATGTGTTGGCCTCTGAAACATGAGAACCTGAGTCTAGTCCTTGGAGTCCATGTAAACAAGCTGCATGTAGTGGCAAATGTTTGCAATCCCAGCAGAGGCAAACTCATCTCTGGAGCTCACTGGCCAGCTAGTTTCACCTACATGTGAAGTTACAGGTCACAGAGACCTTGTCTCAAACAAAAATTGGAAGGTGTGTGAGGTGGGCCACCCGAAGCTGCCTACAGATCACTACAAACACAAGTATGTAAGCAGGAACACACATACATGAAAACCACACAGTGCTGTACCAACATCATAAATGCTGTGCAGCCTTCTCTACTGACTGAGACCCTCAGTGGCACACGCCTTTAATCCCAGCACTTGGGAGTCAGAGGCAGGCGGTTCTGTGTGAGGTCAAGGTTAGCCTGGTCTACAGAGGGAGTTCCAGGACAGCCTGGGTTACACAGAGAAAGCCTATCTTGGAAAACCAGGGTTTGGGGTGGGAATTGTAGAGCGTTTGCATCCACTCTCCAAGGCTTCAACTGATAATGGCATATTTTCAGTCCTCTTTGTTTTGCTGAGTTGCTGCTCAGGCTGGGCTGACACCATAACCCACTGGTAAAGTCTAGCAAAAAGAAAGGGCACCCTGCAACTTGTTGGAGTTCCGTGCTTTGTACAAGTGTATTTGTGATTGCATACTGAGGGAGAGGGTGCACGATAATAAATAATCAGAAAAGTCTAAAGATAGAAAGAGCTGGTGGGCTTCCATGAAGCCTTCATTTCTTTTCCATTTAACAAAGATGTCTCTGTGAGGTATGTTATGTTTACATTCCAGAACCTAAGCAGTTCCCTGGGGTTAAGTATCCTTAAAGCTCCCGAGGATGGGACTAGAACAGGGAATCTGAAGGGAAAGAGATTAGAATCTACAGTGTCTCCTCTGTCCTCCCCCAGACATGCCCTTCTTCTCTGTCACACTGGACTATGTCTTGATAACATCCAGCCAAACACTACGGGTCTGGACTGACTGGCACCAGCCACTACCTCCTGCTCAGGGTGGTTCTGCCGTCTCTGAATTCACTGGAGCTGAGAAGTTCCCTAGAAAAGCAAACCCCCAAGCATGCACAGTCATCAGAGTTTCTGTGTAAAACAAAACAGAACCCTTGCTCCCCAAAGCGCACGTGCACTTAGTGCAAGCCTGGCGTTTGGGACGCGTCTGTGTTTTGTTCCTCCTTTTCTGCCTCCCCCACGTCACCTCCTCTTTATGCCATATTTTCTCATTTCTTGGGGTTTTTTTCCTTAAAAAAATATTTCAAGTGACAAGTAAGTAGCCCCTTCTCAAATAGAACCTGCAATAACATGCCTGGATTACATTAAAGAATGCTGGAGGGAATCCCAAAAACCAGTGTTTGAACAGTCAACCTGACAGCAAGCTAGGACCCCATTCAAAGAGCTCCTGTTACCTAACTCCCTGGAGCTAATCAGTGTAATCCGCATGACAATACACTGTCAGACTCCGGGAACCTGCAGCCACACCGCAGGAGGGGGTGACCAGAGGGAGCCACTGGCGTGTCCAGTCCTTTGCCTGCAGTCCTCAACAAGAGAAGTCATTGCCTCTGGCTCTACTTTCAAACCGGTGTAGACCAGGGGGGGTCTCACAGAATGAGATATCTTAGAGTTAGCAGAGCAAGTAAGTCAGCTTACCGTGGAGACAAAACCACAGAAAGGATGCACAGTCAGTGTCTAAAGCTCAGGGAACAGAGCAGCAACAGGAGGAAACCAGATAGATGTAGACAGAGACTGGGGAGATGTCTGACCCCGTCTTGGTAAGATGAAAATGTTTTCGAATGAGTCCTTTAACTAGGCTCACCCCTCCCCCACAATGTGTAGAAGAAACAGAGGAAGTGTGGAGGGATGATGGGAATCTTCTAAAGGGGAGAAGCCTGCTGGATTGTGAGGGACACCTTGTCTCTGAAGATCTTTCAAGCAATCACAAGTTCCAACCAAAAGAGATCTTCCTCTTTCTTCGTATGATTAAGAGCAGGAATCTAAATTCATTGGAAAAGCTGAGACGACA